GGATCGAAATCAACTGCCAAATCAATCTGATCTCTCATTAAAATAGGTTGAAAACAGTGAATTGGACTTTTCCTCCACCTGGGTCTTGGCAATCTAGCAACTGTGGGCGAACTCTTGTTATCTTAGCAGCAGATTCCTCCCGAGGAACCTGCTTGGAGCCTGGGGTGCGGCTGTGGGTGGGGAAGGAAGACACATGTGTGTGCCTTCTGGGCTGGGGTGGGGTGCAAGAGGACAAGAAGACAGTAAAGCGACAGACCAGACAGAACTGTCAACGTGCCAGATTCTGGAAAAGCAGTTTGCACAGCTGACCTGCTCAATCAAGAATGAACTCTGCCAGCCTTATGTGTCCAAGGTAATCCCCACCTTAGAGGCTTACGTTATATGGCTTGAGACATATCTCGCCCCCCAGCAGGTGAGCGGGGCTCCTCTGTGGAATCGAAGGCATTTGCGTGTAGCCCAGGACCCGGGCACCGCATCCGCTTCTCACCCCATTGCCTCCCTCCTTTAGCCATTTTTGCCTCTTCCTGTCTTCCTGGTGTCCTTCCCTAACCCCTCTTCCATAAGCCTCCTTAAATTCTTCTACAATTTCCCTGCTTTCCCTGCATGCATTTTTCTTCCCTCCAAAGCAACAGAAAACAAGCAAGGCTCAGACCTTCAGTCCAAGGCAAGATTTTTTTTTTTTCCCCTGTCCTTCCAACTGCTCTATTTGAGGTAAAAAACAAGTTGACTCTCTGTGTAGATCAATTCATTATAGTGAGCTCGCAGTGCTCCAAGAAATGGGAGTGTTTGGGGATGCGGTGACAATTCATAGCCTGCGAATCCAAGAAGAGAATTCGCGAAATCAGCCAGCAAAGGGGTCCTGCTATTGCAGCGATATGGTCAGGCAGTCCATAACAGGCCTCTTTGGGTTTGCCATGGATTTCTAGAGGGAGAAAAGGTGGAACAGAGTGTTCTCTTGATTCCTCTAGAAACAAGCTGAGGAGGAGTCCAAAGACAAAGGACCCCCCTGATGGCTGTCAGGTCGCTTCCTGACACCTCTCCTCTTTCCCGGCCACATCTGGCTCAGGTTCTTCTGCCCGCAACCCTGAGCACGAACCCCCACCCCAAATTCCTCCATCCCCTCCATCCCTGTAGAGTGGGGGGACCCAAGGCAGCCCTGCCTCCACCAACTACATCCAGAGCACCCTAACAGCTTCCTGCCCCGGCTGCTAAGTAGCCACTAAAAAAAAAAAAGCCAGAGTTTCTCGCTTGGAGAGTCTCATCTCCAGGACACTAATGAATCACCTCCAGGTGAGGAGAAGGGAACAGGTTTGAATGTGAGACAGCTCCTAGGGCCCCATTTCCTGGGCCGAAGCCCCTGCCCCCCGGGGAGAACATCGCAGCCCCTTGGCGAATAAACAGCCCCAGGAAGCAATGCAGGAACGGCTCAGGCTCAGGAAGCATTAAACTTGGGGCATGCCTGCAGGTTATCAGCTTGAGCTTCAGTCCGGGGAAGGTGAATAGGGGAAGGTGAGGTAGCGATCCAGGTGGGAAACGGAGCCCCGGCGGGGAAAGGTGGGCACCCCAAGTCCAGTGGCTCCCCAGATCCAGAGCACAGCTCAACCTTTGGTCCCTCAGGCTGTCCATCTCTTCCTCCTCCCTGGGGTCCAGCCGAGTGTGACTGATCCTCTGTTCACGTCACCAGAGAGCTGAGAGTTTCCCCGACAGACACCGACTTCTCACACAGAAACAAGATGGCAAGAAGGTCTAATCACTTCTGGAAAAGACTAAACCTGTTCTTCCCTGCGGGGGCCGGAGCCCTGAAAGGAAGCTGGGCTCTAAGGAATGTGTACCACGGGCAAGCGGAGGGCTGGCTAGCCTGGGGACACCAGGAGGAGGCAGGTGGCTGATCTCAGGGCGGAAGCCTCCCCTCTACCCCTTCCTAACCCTCCCACAAACATCCCTTCCGATGAGGCGGTTCTCCTCCCTCGGACCCAGCCCCTGCCTGCCCAGCTCCCATCTTCGGAGACAGGATCGCTCGCTGGAATAAATCCTTCGCCTTTCCAGAAAGGAAATGTCTCTGCTGAACTATTTCAAGGCATATGGCACCACACACACAGCCCACTTCTTCCACTGACCCCTGGCGAGGGTGCACCCTTTCCTCCTCCCCACTCTCCCTAAGGCAAACTCATGAGGTGGGACTAGTTCTCTCTTCCCTTTTCCCTACTCCGGTTCCCAAAGAGACCCTCTGCACGGAACCCCTCCCCCCCACCGGAATGGCAAGCGGTGACCTGTAAAGTGTGAGCGAATTGAGATGCGTCGTGGGAACGCGCCCAGGAGTTGGGGAGCAGCTCCCTGCCATGTGCACGCTCAGCCTGACCCGCCCCGGGGAGGGGAGAGGTCGAGGTGGGATGCTGTTGTGCCCGAGGCACCCAGAACTGGACGCTGAGTTCCACCTCCCCCCCCCCACCCCCTGCCCAAGGTCGCTCATGGAGTGTCCTCGAGGGATGGCTCATGCTCTGTCCCCTTCCCCCAAACACAGAGACAGGCACTGTCCCCCACCAAACAGGCACCAGTATGTCGGTTTCCAAAGCACCCAGCAGGCGAAACTGCAGCTGCCAGCAGAGAATCTGTGAACTGAATAAAATCAGGAGGTGAATTTGAGGGAGAAACATCCCATGTTGACATCATGGTCTGAGGCTGGACTCAGCTCCCTTCCACAGTTACCTTCCTTCCCTGACCCCAGAGAGAAACTGCTCCAACACCATCACCAGTCCCTGAGCCACATACCTGTACACAAACGAGTCACCCTAGTCTGGGGTTGGGGTAGGGCTCGAGGTGATGAGAAGGGGAGAAAACACCCAGAGGGACAGTGACATGTCCAGGGTCACAAACCAGTAGAACAGAGGCCAGCGCCAGCATCCAAAGACCATCATCAGTATCCTCCCAGGTGATGATGAATACATTCAGTAGGGTGGTGGCAAGGGCAGGGTAGGGGGCGGCTCAGAGAAGAAAGAAACCAAGAGAAAGGTTGGTGGGAATCAACCAGCAGGGGAAGGTGGGACAAGAGGCCAGGAGGCCAGGAGAAGGTGAAGAGAAACAAGGCTCTGGGGCCTGGAGGTAGGTAGAGGAACGATAAGGACCAGGTACATCTGCTTCTGGAAGGTGCCTTCCCACAGGCTATGCCTTCTCTGCTTTCCAGGGTGAGCCAAGAGCGAGAACCCTTCACCAGACCAGACCCAAAGGAGACATGGACTGACCGCACCCCATTTCTCACAATTCCTCCATCCGTGCCAGGGACCAGCCAGGCACAGACTCACTACCTAAAAGATAAGATGGGGGACGGGGAGATGCCTGGGTGGCTCCGTCGTTAAGCGTCTGCCTTCCACTCAGGTCATGATCCCAGGTCCTGGGATCGAGCCCCACATCGGGCTCCCTGCTCAGAGGGGAGCCTGCCTCTCCCTCTCCCCCTGCTTGTGCTCTCTCTCTTGCTGTGTCTCTGTGTCAAATAAATAAATAAAATCTTAAAAAAAAAAGATGGGGGGACTGGGGGACGGTGGCACCTTAGGGTGATGAGTGTGGATTATACACGGGTCTGCTTTTGGAAGCACCCAGTTCTAACACCCAACTATGTATGTCACTATTGAAATACCCACACGTCCTGAGTTTGACTCAATAAAACCTGCCAGAGAGTATCATCTTTTCTCAACACCTTCAAAGGAAGAAAAAAAAAAAAAAATCATGCCCAGAAATTTCTATCTGCCTTTCTCTTCATCAGGGTCCGGCTGATTAATGTCCACAGCAGCAAGGGAAGAAGGCTTTCAGGCCGAAAGAATAGAAATGAGCTTAAGCTGTGTGGTTCGGTGTGGGGGCCTGCTTGGCACACTCAGAAGCAGGACTGGTCAGGGGGAGGGGGTCCTGGTTACCGGGACAGTGCTAACACCATGTGCCAAAAATGGAGGCATGTCCTGGGGCAGGATTTGTTCCCTGGAAGACTCTGCTGAACCAAGTCCAGCCATTCATCATCATGAGGGGACTGGAAGCTGAGCTAACTTTGCCTCCCCTGGGTGCATCGGTCCCTGCCTTGTGAAGAGTCTGGTTTCCTGTTCTCTGGGCTCTGACTTCCCTAAGGACTCCCTGGGAGCCAGGGTGGGTGGGGTGGGAGGCGGTCAGGGTGGGGCCAAGCACTGCCATATTTTGAGCTCTTGGCATAAGTTTTGGGAGGAGGCTACCCCAGCACCACCCACCCACCCCCAATGTAAGCAGTAAAAGCTGCCCACTGGGCTCAACACAGCAAGAACGTTAACTCAGAGCGTTCTGCCAACAGGGTTTGAAAGACCAAGTCCTCCAGTCTCGGCAGGAAAATAAGCATCCCGCTTGGGCAAGAGGCAGTGTAGAGACACCATCTGCCCTTGGTCAACATGGAATGGAGAAATCTTTACCCCTTCTTACCCGGGAGGCATCCCTTCCATACCGCCCCCAGTCCCACACAGGGAACACGCAGCTTATATTAAATCACTTGCTACTCCCTCCTGGAAGGTTCCAACATTGTTCAATATCCTAGGCCGAAGAGGATGTGCTGGTTAGACTCAGAAAACCAAAGGCAAGAGGAGCCTACCGCCAGAGCGCCCACTTGCCCTGAAAACTGAACCCGGGACCCCACCCTCCACCTCCCCCGCCCCCTCCCATCCAGGGTTATAGAATTTGTAAAACTCCTAGGCTCAAACTTCATGGACTCCACTGATCCTTACTTTCTCCCGTAATCCCCCTACCACCAAAGCACGCGTTCTGGACTCTGAAGAAATGGTGGAAATAAGAAAGCTGTGATTTATCTGCATGTCAAGGAAGCCAGGGAGAAACCGGTCTCAGAGAGTTAGAGCGATGTGGTTGGTGCTGAGGACCCGGGACGCACGTTAAGAGGGGCGAGGCTCGGCGGGAGGCCGGGAGGCCGGGGGCCCGGGGGCCCGGGGACCGGCACCGGGCGGCCGCGCGCGCGCGCGCGCGCGCGCACGCGCTCTCACCTGTGGATGTTCATCTCCCGCGGAGGGCGGTGGGCCTTGTCATAGGAGACCTTGGCAAAAACACCGGCCACGATGACGAAGGCGACGACCCCGCAGGTGATGTAGACCGTGAAGTTGGTCTTGTCCTTCTCCGGGTCGTACTTGTTCTCGGGCCCCGGCGACACCACCTTGGTGCTGGGCGTCTGCACCCACACGGGGCTCTGGTAGTTGGTGCACTGGCGCTGGTCCAGCTTCTCGTGGCGCTTCTTGCAGCAGAAGCGGTAGTAGCAGGTGCCGCAGCAGTACAGATAACCGCTCTCGCTGTTGTTGCACTCGAACTCCTTGTCGTACTGGCCGCTCACGTCGTAGTAGCCCCAGCACGTCTCGTA